CTTGAGAAGACAGTTACTGAAAAAGCTATCAGAGTCCTTTTTGGATGAGACATTGAATGATAAACGTTTGGAGTGTCTTGAAGTAGTTCATCCCTCCATAATTTCTTTGTTATCTTGGTCCACAGCAGAGTGAAGATAAATAATACCTTCATCTTATATATGAAAGAATTGAAACAAGTTAAAATGCACTGACCCATGGAATTGTGATTGATGCTGCTGTGATTTAGAGCCAAAATATTACATATGGTAGCTTTGTATGTTTTAGGCACTTGAACTGTGATTAGATTTAACTGAGATTCCCTGTAAATATAAAATTCTGGATGTCTTAAGATTTCAGGGGCCCAAAACAACTATGAGATAACATCTCACCCCAGTCAGAATAGCAAAGTTTGACAAAACAGCAAGCAACAAATGCTGGTGAGGTTGTGGAGAAACTGGAACCCTTATTCACTGTTGGTGGGAGTTTAAAATGGTGCAACCACTGTGTAAGGCAGTATGGCACTTTCTCAAAAAGTTGCAAATAGAGATTCCATTTGACCCAGCAATTCCACTACTGGGAGTATACCCCAAAGAGACCATAAGTGATATCCAAGCAGATATATGCACACCCATGTTTTTTGGGGCTTTGTTCATAATAGCAAGGAGTTGGCAACAACCCAGGTGCCCATCAACAAATGAATGGATAGAGAAGCTGTGGTATATTCATACAATGGAATACTAGACTGCATTGAAAAACAAGGAACTCATGCAGTATTATTCAAAATGGGTGACCCTGGAGGACATTATGCTGAGTGAAGTATCTCAGTCACAAAAGGACAAATACTGCATGGTGCCACTATTGTAGAATGGGACTGACATCAGAGTTGTGGTAAGACTGAGAAAAACTGTATAAGTTATGTATATTGCATTGAAACGGATGAAGGAAAGAATACTTTAAAAGCAATATATGATAGAGTATTATGGTTATCGCAAAAGTCCAGAATTAAGGTTGCATAGTGGAGTGTACTCGGGGTGGTAGGTGTGTGTGGTGGGGGATTGTATACCAAAGAAAGAATTTTTCTTTTAAGTTTCAAAGAGAGAGGCGTGAACTGGGGGGGAGGGGTGGGCAGGGAGAAAAGTGCAACAATGAATCATTAAAATTAATAAAATTTAAAAAAAAAAGATTCCAGGGGCCCAAGAAAATTCCAGAGGCCTTTAAAAAAATATTATGTATTGAAATAATATGTTCTTCTTCTTATGTCTTAGGTTAAATATTGTTAAAATGAATTTTACTATTTTGAAAAGGTCTACAAGGGCATTTAGAATTAGATATGTAGACCGTATTACGTATCAGTCAGCCCTGATGGATTATACAGTGGTCCAAGCTGCTGGGACCACAACTCTATTTTCTCTGTAGAATATAAATATTGTATAAATATTTCAGAAATAAATACTGTAGAATATAAAACAAAGATGAAGTAAGGGGCTGGATTAGAATTACTATACATTGTGAACGTACAGAGGGCTTTACAAGTTTACATTTGTTTGCAATTTGGAAGAGGTCCCGTATTATTAGTCTTGGTAGCTGCTTAAAGGTCGCTGAGCAGTTGCTTCTGGACTATTGTTAAACAAATAAAAATGCTGAGCAGAATTATCAGGAGGCAGTTCCAGCTGTATGCACCTTCTTACATCCGTGCTGTGCTGATAGGAGCACTGCTTAGATAGATTTCTGGGTCTCCTTGGGGTCACCCTGGAGTGTGCAGCGCTGAGGAGAGGAGACAGGTAAGTCCCACACTGAAGTAACAGGAAAAGAAAATTCTAGAGCCTCCTTGATTAATTGTCTTAGAAGAGATTTGTCTGCAAAAGTTAGCTCCATGTCTTGCTCTTTCTTTGTAAATGGTGCTGAGATGGCAGTACTGGTAAATCCGAGCCCAGTGTGGTTTACTTCTACATACTAAATTGACTGAAAACTCACCAAATAGGATGGCTTCATGGGGCAGCAAGTGCATATAAGTATTTGTTAGCTTTTATTGAATCAATAGAAGGCAAAATGTGAATTAAGAACTGCTGGTAGTCTTGTTTTAACACTTGACAAAGCACTAGGATCGTTTGGAAAGGATCCTGACTTTTAAGATTTATGACCTTTCATTTCCTTGCTCTTCAAAGGTCTTTTTCTTATCTAGGTACTCAGCTGGAATTTCAATTGTTTGAAAAGTTTGGTGACTGCTAAATAAGATGGACGTGATTTTGGCTTTAATATTTTAAAATGTCTTTATTTTCTTATTCTGTTCCTTAACATTTGAGTTGGAATAAAAATTTGGATTAAAAATTTAACTTGCTTTTCCAGATTCATTACTCAGCGTTTTTAAAAAATCTTATGTGGTTAACTGGTGATACTTTTGTAGCAAGTATGATGTAAGGCTTAGCTTTGAAAATTAGGACTTTCTTTTTTTAAAAAAAAGAAAATTGGGATATTTTCATTGTAAATAAATTTCATAGTCATAATGCAAACACTATGCACTTTGATAAATGTTGATAGTTGTAGAGGAGCTTCAGGCCTCTTCACAGGGTCGCAGTGCGTTGTGCTCAACTCAAAGGCCGTCAACAACAACAACAAAGCAAACATAACATTATGAATTTACAGATAAGCATTGTCAAATAATGGGATAGTTAATAAAAACCAGTAGACTGTAGATTACCAATATGAAGAATACACTTGACTGTATTTAATACTGTAACTTGGGAAAATAATGTAGATTGTTGTGTTTTGGGTTTTTTTAAATGGAGAAGTGGTCTTATGAAAGAGTAACAGTTATTGTTTAATGCTGTTCATTCGCAAATACCAGTTTGTGCAATGATTATTTTGGTAGAATATATGTGTATATATAGATTTGATAAAATGTTTACCATTTTAACTTTTTTATGTTTACAGCTCAGTGATGGTGGGGCTTGAAGGAAAAATAATTGACTTCTGTTATGTTTTTCTTTCCTTCTAGAATATGGTTTCTAGTTTTAGAGTTTCTGAGCTACAAGTGTTACTAGGCTTTGCTGGACGGAATAAAAGTGGACGAAAGCATGACCTCCTGATGAGGGCGCTGCATTTATTGAAGAGTGGCTGCAGCCCTGCGGTTCAGATTAAAATCCGAGAACTGTACAGACGCCGATATCCACGGACTCTGGAAGGACTTTCGGACTTATCTGCAATAAAATCATCGGTTTTCAATTTAGATGGTAGCTCGTCACCTGTAGAACCGGACTTGGCTGTGACTGGAATACGTGCATTGCCTTCCTCTTCAGTTACCCCCCACTCGCCATCCTCCCCTGTTGGTTCAGTGCTGCTCCAAGATACCAAGCCGACGTTTGAAATGCAGCAGCCATCTCCTCCCATCCCTCCTGTCCATCCTGATGTGCAGTTAAAAAACCTGCCTTTTTATGATGTCCTTGATGTGCTCATCAAGCCCACAAGTTTAGGTAAGTTAAAGAAATCGGTTCTTTGGATCAAGGGAATAAAGAAAAGAAAGAAAGGAATAAATATAAGCAAGAAGCCTTTACTTTTTTTTTTTAAGCCTTTACCTTTTGATTCATGAGTTTTTAAAGTAATATTATCAAATTGATGAAGTACTGTCAGGTATTGATGCAGATTTAAAAAATATTGGCCACTTTGACTAAATTTTAATACCAGACTCTCTTTATTTAAGCTTGTGTGTGTGTGTGTGTGTGTGTGTGTGTGTACCGTCAAATCAGATCTGACTGGTAAAGGAGGAGATTGTCCCTCCTTTTCCCGGCAGAGCATCTGGTGGATTCGAACCGTGAGCCTCTGGTATTGTAGTTGCAGCTTCTTGCCACTAGGCCACCAGAGCTCCCCTAAGCTTTTCTTTTTTATAACTTAGTACTCAAATACTTTTATGTGAGTGGAAGATAAGACCGTGTCTATCCTTAGAAAATTGAACCTGGAGGTGAAGGTTGTTGAAAAAAGGAAAGAATTTTAATACAGCTGTATGTATGTGACCCAAGTCCTAGAATTGGGTTTGGGTTTGGTGGGGTTTTTTTATTTGTTTTTTCACTTTTCACTTACTGTTGTTAACATAAAACCATTTGTGGAGTCTGCATAATTGGGTTTTTGATCTGCGGTTCTGTACACTAAAGAGGAAGAAATAAACTGCAAAACCTGAATCCCTCCACTTCACATTTTGCTGTTCTTTCTTGCATTACAATCTACATTACAATGATTGCATTTCAATCAGTTTCATGCATAAACTCATGCCATATTTAGTGTGCATTTTGCTTGTGTTCTTTTGTAGAATGAATTTACCTAAAAACTGTCAGTGAACGTTAATGCAGTGCTAGATTTTACTAGTATATGCCCTACTCTTTGTTGCCGTAAATTTCCTGAGTCTAGTTTGTTCCCAGGGAGCTCTGGTGGCCTAATGGTAAGACGTTGCACTGCAGTCCCAAAGGCATGTGGTTCAAATCCACCAGCTGCTGCATGGGAGACAGATGGCCAGTCTCCTCACATGTGACTTACTGTTTCTGAAAACCTGCTATAGTGTCAGCTGTGAGTCAGTTCATGCTCTGCAGTACACAACAACAACGACATTGTGTTCATAAAGTAAATCCATTTTCCCTCAGAAACAATGTGGTTATTTGAGACTATATTCTGGATTTAAACTTGGCAATACATTTAGTAATAACTGAATGATAAATTTAGTGTCAGAGTCAGTGAGACTGGCTTAAGATATGGCAGGGTTCAAAGATAGTGTACCTGGGGTTGCTGTGGGTTGCACGTGACTCAGTGGCACATAAGATCAATAACAACAAAATGATAAAGCCAAAATTAGTTTAGAGACAGCTGGGAGCCCTTGCATATACTGATAATAGAAGCATTCTACTTTCAAATAATAAGACTCACAGTTTTAGGGAACTTTTCTGGATGGCTTGAGTCCGGTCGTCCAGACAGGTTCCCACGTACTGGCATTTGTCGGAGTTTGCTTGAGTCTTGTGCCAACTTTGCAGGTGTAGATCATGAGATTTGTGGCACACTACAAGTGGCTGTGTGTCTGCAGCTATTTGCATTACTCACACTTAACAGAATGCAGGGAGAAACGCTGCTGTTGAACAGAGAATTTTCCACCCTCCATTTGTTTTTCCTTTTTTGTGATTGTAGTATTTTCCTGTTTCTATTATAAATCCTGCCTTTCAGTACTCTTCTTACTTTTGCTGTAAAGTTAATATTTTAAGAAAATCTGGAAAAACAGCCTTTTTTTTAGACTTACCATTTACTTACTGTTTGTGTGCTTTTCATTCCTGAAGATCTAGGTTTGATTTTAGTGTCTTTTTTTTAAAAAAAAAA